TGCGAGCTTATTTCTTGGAACTTTATCTGTGGGAAGTCTCCGGAGGTGACAGAGGTTGGGATACTTTATGACTACTATCTTCTATTGGGATGCCTCTCTCTCATGGCTCCAGCTCTCGAACAGTGTCTGCTGACACTGTTTCTTCCCCCTCCTGTAGGAGTAGCAATGGCTTCCCATGGTTGCTAGTCCCCAGGTTCCCCAACATTCCATATTAGTTCGCTTAGCCCTAGTTTGTAAATAGTCCTGTCTTTGAAGAGTCTCTTCAAAAATCTCAATGGAGCATATCATCTGTTTCTTGCTGGGACCCTGAGTGATACAATCTATATAAAGAGCACTGAATAAATTCTAGTTATTATTGTCATTGAGGAAACCATTTTCTATTTAGGGAAATTTTCAAGTAAGCTCAGGCAAAAATAATTATGAGGCTGGCGACATGAGTTTCAAAAAAGATAGGTTCAGAGAAGAGCAGAATGAGGAACAATCTCAGTCTCCACCTCCATAACCCTCTCCCCGTCCCTCTAAAGAAGCCACAAGCCCCTCTCCCAGGACAGCATTGTCCTACACTCCCCTTCAGGGTCATTGTTAGCCACCCACCATCTTTCCCTCTTGTTTACCTTGGAGGTCCACAAAGTGAGGGAGGTATACAGCTGCCATGGATCTCGGCTCAGCCTTGATGTCAAACAGAGGCCCTGCCACCATCCAGCTGTGCTATGGGATGGTCCCATGCAGGAACTGGTTCCAGGAACAGAACTCAATCTTGATGGTCACTGCCCCTCTCGCCACAAAGCAGAGGCCTGTGTTTGGCCAGAGGTAGGAGCCGGACGCGGGGAAGTGAACTCTGGGAGGAAGAGGGAGAGGCAGACACTACGTTATACAAACTCGCTGAGTACCTACTGGATGCCGGACACTCTTCAGGGGCTTTTGAATATAGCAGAGTGGTTGCAAGCCCAGACTTCAGAGTCAGACAGATTTGGGGTTTAGTCCTGTCTCTTCTACTCCCGGACTGTGAATCCCAGAGCAAGTCACGTAACCTCCCTATTCTCAGTTTCCTGATCTCTAAGTAGGAATAATAATAGCACCCATTTTATAGTTGTGAGGATAAGTGACTAATGCATGCTGGCAGCTTATACAAACCCGGGAGAAGTTAGCTGTTTCTATCATGATGACATGACAGAGATGATGATGATGATGAAATAGGCAAGTGTTCTTATTTCTAAAGGGCCATTTACCAATAATAACAATCTACATTATAAATTTTTTTGTTTCTTTGCTTTTTTTATTTTTAGAGACAAGATCTGGCTCTGTCATCCAGGCTGGAGTCAGTGACACAATCATAGCTCACCGTAACCACAAGCAATACTTCCACCTCAGCATCCTGAGTAGCTAGGACAACAGGTACCACCACCGGTGGCTAAATTTTTGAAAATTTTTGTGTAGACAGAGGGATCTTTCTTTGTTGCCCAGGATGATCTCAAAGCCCTGGTTTCAAGTGATCCTGTCACTTCGGCCTCCCAAAGTGCTGTGATTATAGGTGTGAGCCACTGTGCCTGGCCCACATGCTAATATTAATGGTCAACCCTCGGAGCTGAAAGCAACACTTTACAGAGATCTTAAGGGACTTTCCCACGTGGAAATGGTGGGGTTCTGG